TTATTTTTTTGAGTAATAATATTGCTACATTTTAAAAAATATATAAAATAATTTTCAAAACGCCATACTCTGGCTAGAAATAATTGATGACTGCTGTTTCTCATCGAAAATATATTAAATATGAGTCGCAGAAGTATAATATTTCACTTGAAATACTCACAAGCAATTTATTTTCGTAAAAATAACTACATGAAATTGACAAATTTGCAACATCCGTGCGTGACTTCCGTGTGTGATTATTCATAAACTGCATTTAAATGATTGCTGTGACTCTATGATTCATAGTACAATCCTGTAACTTTCTGGAAATCTTTACTAATGTTTAAAATATTATTTAAAAAGAAAAGTATACCAATGAAACTTATACTGTCCAAGGAAATTAAAGTTTATTTATCTATTAACTAGAATATAAGTTTTTCTGTTCCGTGCGTGATTCCATTTCAAACTTTATTTATTCTTTGTTAACATTACTAATGCTTACTATTTTTTGTTTACAAAATATTTATATTGATTAGAATTAAATGAGAGTAAATTGGAGATCGCTAGTTTTATTTTTATGAAAATAAAAGTAAAAACATATACGAGTCTCCGTGCGTGATTTTTCGGAAATACCCATATATATATATATATATATATATATATATATATATATATATATATATATATATATATATATATATATATATATATATATATATATATATATATATATATATATATATATATATATATATATATATATACATACATATATATGGAGCATTTGATGCAAAAATTAGTGCATCAAATGCTCCTTACTTTTAAAAAAAAATCTGTACCTATTTTAAAAATTTTCTATTGGTACTCACAAGCAACTATGTTAAATTTTTCCAAAATGCAATTGGATTTAGTGGGGCCACCTCAAGCCTGAAATTTGCAACAAAACCTTAAATGCCAAACTTTTTTATTTTAAATATGTTTTGTTGGGTCTCAAAAGTAGCAAAATGATATAAATTTTCATGAAGGGTTATTGTTAGTTTTTGAAACTTAATTGTTTCATGAAAGTTATTGTTAATTTTTGAAACTTAATTTACAAGATTTAAAGTTTTCATCAGCTTTTAATTTGAAATGTGCTAATGCAGTTTTTAGAATTTCAGGCCAATCAGGTGAAAAACCTTGTCTTTGGTTGAAAGAGACTTAAGGTGGCACAACACCTAATATTTTCTAAAAATTGAAAAAAAAGTGAACTTTTAATACTTCACTCATTTAAAAGGCAGATTAATAATGTAAAATTATTACCAACTTATTTTTCAATTTTTCAATAAATTAACTAACCAATAAAAATTTATGTAGGAATGATAAGAAAATTTAATCTTCTTTTGTGTTTTTCTGTTTTAAAATTTTGCAAAACATTGTCTGATTGTTAACATCTTGTGAAGCAGAAGTGCAAATCACTTCAAATTTTCAGGAAATGTTTGTTATACTATTTTATAGGGAATGACATTTCGAAATTTTTAATTTCTGCTCCAATCTTTTTTTTCTTTAATTTTAAGGTCTAAAAATAGTTTTATTATTTGAAGTAAAAAATTTTATATAGTAGTTGATGTACTTTGAAAATCATAAAAATTAAATTATCAATACTTTACCTTACATGTTTAGAACATATGTAAAAAATTTCACTGATTTTGTGTGGATATATTCAAGTTATCGTGTTTTAAATTGACCCATAAAAATGAATATTTTTTGACAAATTCGAGGCAAATTAATCGAGGCAAAGTGAAGTATAAAATAGCATTTTAAAGTAATATAATTTTTTATCTATATAAAATTTATCTATTTTTTATTAAGTTTGAACATTTTTGAATATTTGGTGGTGTACCACCTTACGTGAAGTTCTCATAACTATATTACTTTAAATCTACGAACACTTGGAAGCCATCACTATTGTTATTTAAGATACATTTGTTTAAAATATTTAAAGAGAAATCCAATATAAAATTTATCCTAGAATTTTTTATCTTGATGATGACCCAAAATTTTTATTCCTGAATTTTTCCTGGACATTTCCTAAAAATATTTTACGAATAATATTAGGAAAAATTTTACGCATATTTTAAAAAAGACCTCTGCAATCAAATAAAATCTTTTTTTATTTAAGTTTATTAAAATTAAAAAGTTTGTTTATATCTGCTCAAGAAACTTTCAAGATGTTAAAAATTACATACACTCTTGTGTAACATGCAACCTTTTGTTAAATACTACAATTGTTGCTTATCTAAGTTTGCTGATCAATGCATAAAACCAATTCATTCTAAATTCAAACCAACACGGAACAGGTTTAACAGACAAGTAGTAATCAAAAAATATAGCAGTAGACTCCTTTCTTCTGCTATGACTTTAAGAAGAGTTTCTTAATCTATAATAATATGTGGATTACCGTATGTTGTTTATATTTGTATTACAAATATTTTTAATGTTTATTGTTTTAGTTTTTATTTAATTAAACTTTAAAATCTTTTTTATTACTATAAAACAAATACACTTAAATAAAAAAGATTTTATTTGATTGCAGAGATTATCCTGGTCTTATAAAAAATATATGTAAAATTTTTTCCTAATGATATCCGGAAGTATTTTTAAAAGATCTTCGAGAAAAATTCGGGAATAAAAATTTTGTGTAACTAAGAATCACTCATGTTTTGGCAGGCATTCTTTTATATAAAGTATTTTGATACTTATTTTTATGAGTTTATAAATAAAATTAAATTAGATTTTTAGGTGAAATAGTAAAAATAATAAAATTGATCTCTAAGTGCTGATTTTTTTCTCTAAGGTAAGTTCCGGCTCTTTTATTTTTTTTTGGTGTCATTTATTAACTACAAAACGCTTTTGTAGTTAATAAATGACGTCAAACAAAAAAGCTCAAAAATACGTTAAAAGTTAAAAACGTTATATTTGGGTTTTCCCTTTTGCAATTAATTTTTATGTCAAACTCAAATCCTAACACCGGCTAAATAAACAATTTAAAATTTAAGGTACGCCGCAAAAAAAATTTTCCCTCGACACTCTCTATGAACTTTTTAAAATAAAAACTGAAACTACAAAATAAACAAAAAAAAAAAAAACAAAAAAAAAAAACAAAAATGAAATAACAATATAGAAATTAAAAATTCAAAAAAAACGATCGTTGAGAACGAAATAAAAATATAAATAACTAATTTGCTAAAAAAGTAAATAACAAATTATATTGAGTTAAATTATACGTTATGGGCCGCGAGTTTGACAGCCTTGATGTAGATGAATGCCTTTATATATAACCATTTATAAAACGTAAAAAAACCGACTAAAAATAGCAAGCTCATTAAGTAAATGTTTTAAAAGTCTAATTTATATTTGATTTATTAAAAAATAAATTATTTTAACTAAAAGATATGTAAATTTAAAAATTGATACAAGTTCTGCTTATAAAATCTTAAAACTAAAATAACTGTTTTTATTATATTTCACGGTAAATGAAAATAAAATGCTATAATGGAAATAAAAATAAGACAAAGTAGAAAAGCGGTATTCTTCGCTTAATTATAATTTTTATTTTGTCACAAGTTTCCAGTTGAACTAAAACCTTGTTTTTTTTAACAGGGGAAAACCCTAATCTGTGAAGTGTGTTATTGGTTTAAAAAACTCTGCTACAAGTACATTTATTATTAAAGGGACTAGAATAGGAACGGAAAAATAATCACGTGAGCATGCGCAGTTTTCCTTTAAACAAATTTTTATTACGCATGCTCACGAGTTAATTTTTTTCTTTACTTTCCCGTTCTTATTGAAAAAGAAGAGTCCAGGGGAAAAAACGGTAAAGTCACATTTAAAAAGTTTTGAGAAAGTATATATTGATCATTTATAAAAGTCTTCATATGACACAAAAAAGTCTAAAAATTTGCAAAAAAAAAAAAAGACATTTCTCGATTAATTTTTCTTAAGTTAACATTTTTAATAAAATGACCTATCTTTATAGAATGACTTTTATAAATGATCATTATATATATTTTTAAAACATTTTTTATGTGACTATGCCGTTTTTTCCCCTGGACTCTTCAAATGGTTGAGTGAAAACTTGCCTTAAAACCAGATTTTACAACGAAAAACATTAGGTAGATTTATGAAATTAATATTAACCTCAACCAAGTTTTAATAAACTCAAAATTTACTTTCCGATGTTTTTTTTCAAAACAAACATAATTTGTCTCACCACATGGAAAAACATTTTATAAAAAATATACGCGTACAAATAAAAAAAATAAAAAAATTTAGTACAAATAATGCCTTACCAGTAAATATATCGTAGAGTAATTAATAAACGATACCTTTGATGTTTTAATTATTTTATGACAAAAAAATATCTTTAAATTGTATTACTAGGAAACTATTTCGATATCCGGAAAAAATTTATAAAAATATCGGGAATTCCGGAAAAAGATAATTCCTGTGATTGATATGACATAAAACCTGGCAGTCTCTTTGGTCCACTGTGACCAAAATTAAAAGGATATATTTTATTTCAATTCAAATCACATTTTTATGTTAACTTTTCTATTTTTTTCCACATTGGTTCAAATGGTTAAAAATAAAAATCTCAAATTTTTGAATACTACAAAATTTTAAAGTTCTTAGGTTTTTGTTAAATTTTATTTTCATTAGGTGATAATAGTAAAAATATATGTAGTGCAAAGCACTAAAGACATCACTTATTGAGTTAGTTCTACATTTAAGATGCCACTGGATTTGATTCAATATTAAAGTCTGATTGTAACATTTTTTTAAATTATCAATAAAAAATTTAAAAATTTCATTAAAAAAAAGCTTGAACCAAAATTTTTAAATAAATCAATTTAAAACTTTGATAAGAAAAACTTATTTTCCTAATCTATGGACAAAAATAAAGTTTAATATGATATAGGCGTAATAAAAATCACTGAGCTAATTTCCTTGATGTTCTTGTTTCTAAGAGAAAAATAACTTACCACACCATTTTCTACGCTGGATTTTTTAGGTATTTTGAAAACAGGTTTTGATATAGGTGGGGATTTGGTATCAGAAAATCGTTCAACAAAATTTGACTGTTTTATAGTCTCTTCAACAGTACTATTATTAACTAGTCCTTCTGATACAGTTTCAACTTCCATTTTTACAGGTTTATTAGATTGTATTTGTTTTCTTACAGCAAGTTTTTCTCTATTAATTTTTTCTTTCAGCTCAGCAGCTTTTTGTCTAATTCTAGATATGGTAGGATCATCTTCATCATCAACATCATCATCAGAGCTATCTGATGAAGGTAAGGATGGGGAAGAACCAATATCCTTTTCAGACTCAAAAGATTTGTTTTTTACTCTTGTTTTATATTTATTTTTATTTACACCAACATCATCAACTGCACTTATTTCATCATTATTAAACTCTATTCTATTCATGTCCATATTTGTTTGCTCCATAAACTGATTAGCATTTCGATCAGATTCAGTTAATGATTTTTTTCTTGTCACCAGTATTTTGTTAGATTTTTTTCCTTTTCTTTTAAGCAAATTTACAGTTGTATCGCTGTTTGCTTCTTCACTAGGAGATGATACAGGTAATGAAGTAGTTGTAGTAGTACCTTCCTATAAAAATAAGAACTATAAATACTCAACAAAACTGCTACAAATTTTAGCTTTAGCAAATTATTTTTTTACAAATTTTAGTTTGCAAATAAGTTAGCTTTGCAATTAAGTTACCTTAGCAATTAATTCTTTATATTGTTTGAGTTTTTCTGAGTACTCATTTTTGTCTTTGTTATATTTATCATGGTATACCTAAAAAATAAAATAGTGTTTTAATGTTTGAATTACATCATCATCATCATCATCATCATCATCATCATCATCATCATCATCATCATCATCATCATCATCATCATCATCATCATCATCATCATCATCATCATCATCATCATCATCATCATCATCATCATCATCATCATCATCATCATCATCATCATCATCATCATCATCATCATCATCATCATCATCATCATCATCATCATCATCATCATCAGGTTAACTAAATATACCAAAAACAGCAATGTTAACATAGTATAATGTTAACGTAGCTATCCATATCAAAAATATTGCTATCAATACTAATAACTCAAAATAGTCAGCAATTAATCATAAAGATTCAAGTAAATTTAAAATTTACATCATGCATGATAAAAAAATAACATAATCTAACACTTTGTTATTGATGGAAAACAAAAAATACATTGAATCAAAAAAGTATTTAAAATTAAAAAAATACATTTTTTTTATCTTCACTCAATGCTTCCCATAATTGTGCAACCATTTTTGAAACCTCACCAAATCCAAGCTAAATAAAAAAAATTAAACATATTCAGAGTGTTAATTGAGGGAAATATTAAACTTAAAAAAACAACAACACAAAAACAAATAGAAAAAAAAAAACAAAAAAAAAAACTACAAATATAAATTGAAAATAAACTTTAGCATATTATTAAAAAATAATCAATTTATAAAAATTTATGGTCATTTTTTGGAAAAAAATGTTTTACATTTTTTCATGACACTTATTAAGTGTCATGAAAACAATTTTAAATATTTATAGCTTTAAATATTTATCAAGGCAATATTTAATTAGGTTTAAGGTTTCACTTTTGATGACAATATCAGATAGTTTGAGGGACAGTATCCACATTGGAGAGACTTAAGTTAAGAATTGATGATGAAGACTGCAGCTTTTTACAATTTCTCTCTTTTGAAATTATGTCAATATGTGTTAAGCTGATATAAGGCAAAATTAGTTTTATTTAAATAATATTTTTGAATATTTTGTATATCTGTATAAAGTCACCACTTTTGCATCTTTTTTTGAGTGTGCTCAAGCCAATTTTAATTCCTGTTTGGTAATTTAGTTTTTTAAATATGGGGTGACATTTAGTGGCACAGCGTTAAACTTTTTCAAGTGCATCAACCTTATTCTTAAGACTTAAAGCACATTGATTGAAAAGGACCATTTAAAGAATCAGGCATCAGTAGCAAACTGAAAAGGATAACCTTTCAATAATGAAGGACAAGTAGCAAACCTAAAAAAGGAACCCTTTCGATAATCAAGGGCTAGTAGCATATCTTAAAAAATGGACTTTTTCAATGATCATAGGCCAGTAACAAATACTCAAAATTATTTTTCACGCTTTTTTTTTAAAATCTAGTATTTTTTTTAATTTTGTATTTAGAGGGTACCTTACCAACACAACATCATAAAAAAGAGTGTTAAGTGAACCAACATAATGACCTGGTTAGTCACATTTAAAGTCTTGAAAAATATTTTGATGAGATCTAAAAATTGGTATGCACAGTAATTGAGTAACACTAATTTGAAAATAATAGGTATGAAAGATGTAGTGTGGCCAGTCAAGTTTTTGAATGAAAATGCAGGAAAATACCAGAAAACCACTTTTTTTTCCCCCTAAGAATGTTCTTCATAAATAAAAATTAAAAATAAAATAAAAAATAGCCCTTCAAGAAATGACAACAAAAGTCACACCAGAAGTAGAAGCCATCCTTAGGATGGCAAATCAGTATAAGAGAAACAGCAAGAATAATAAACTTTTTAAGAATATTAAACAAGAACTCTATCAAATGAAAATATTTAAAAGTACAGGTATCATATCAAAATGTCATTATTATTATTAATAAGGTTTACAAATAGGATTTGTATAAGCATAAATGCATGAATTTAATCATAAATTATTTTTTCTTCTAATAGAAAATTGTCTAGTTTGTTTTTAAAATTGCTCAAGGATAACGCATTAACAACGTCATCTGGGAGGGAGTTCCACTTGTTGACTACATGTGAGGTAAAAAAGTTTTGACAAGAAGCTAGACAAGATTAAAGAATTTCTAGTTTAAATGAATGTCCTCTTGTAATAGTTTATAATTGTTTTTGGAAAGATCGTTGGACCGTTATAGCAGTTGTTTAGCCATTTATAGACCTTTATTAAATCTCCCCGGATTAGTCTGAAACTTATGGTTGTCATGTTAATTTTTAATAGTCTTAATTTTTTAAAAGGCAAATGATCATCTATTCTGAAGATAAATTTAGCATGAAGTACTTTATAACTAAAACAATACTTTTAAGAATTGCCAAAAAAAATGGTAAACTGGAAAAAAAGTAAATAAACCAAAAAAAAGAAAAGAAAAAAAACCCGCTAAAAAACTAATCGTGAAGGTGTGAAAAGCAATCGTGATACGCTTAATTCGAGCCCTGTGTATATATATATATATATATACACACACACACATATATATATACACAAAAATTGTCGTACACTTAAAAAAAAATCATAATTTTAAAGGTTGCATCAAAAAAATGAGTTGTCTAATAAAATATTCAAAATAAGTTTTTAGATATCTTATCAACTATTGTTTTAAAAATTATTTTTGTGTATTGGTGAACTAATTGCTTTTCAAACCTATTGAACTTTACTCAATTGATCTAATGATGCATAAAATTGACTTCAAAAAAAAAAAAAAAAAATTGTACAGTTCAAAAATAATATCAGATTGATCTAACTCCATGGAAATTAGTATAGAGTGGGGCCTCCTTTAGCCTTGATGGCCTCATCTAGATGGTTTGACATTGAGTTGGCCAAATTTTGGGTCTCTTCTGTTATATTATCCCATGTCCTCATTAAAGCTTCTTTGAAGTTGTTTTTGAGTCTAAATGCTCGTTTGCCAATTTTTCTGTCCAAAAAATACCACTAATTTTCTATTGGATTCAAGTCCGGACTTTGATATGGCCATTCCAAAACATTGATATTAATTGTGTCAAAGCATAACTTAATTAAATTAATATTGTGTCAAAGTAAATTAATATTGTGTCAAAATTAATTAATTAATATTAATTGTGTCATAACTTAATATTAATTGTGCCAAAGCATAACTTCATTTTTTCAATTGTTAAGAAGCATTATCTGATTGGAACTGTTGCTAGTGAGGCTGTTAGAGAACAAAAATGCAAAACCACTAGTGCAATTGATCAAAATATCATTATTGTGAAGAAAAACAGATTTATTTTTGCAGCTAAATAGCTTTGAAAATTGTGTATATATATATGTATATACAGGGGCTAATCTAGGAAAAAAAATGGGGCGACAATAACTCCAGTCCCAGAGGAAATATTGCCAAATATCAGCATTTTTTCACGAAAAAACAAAAACAATATTTTCCGTAAAAAAACGTAAATAAACATTAAAAAAAAAAAAAAAAGTCCTCATTTTTCTAAAATACAGTCAACGCTGTCAAAAACAGTCTGATTTTTTTTGCCGACCGCATACATGTTTAGGTCGGCAGTTAGGTCGGCATTGCCGAATGCCGACCCTTGTTCCGAGGGTTGTGTATATATATATAAAAATATATATCTATAGTTAAAGTTGCAGCAGATGTGCAAATACTTAGTCATAATTTTTTTTTTAGGTCAATCAGTTGACTTAAATATCATCTGATTTACTTCAAGACTTAAGTTGTTAAAAAATTGTCCTTTAAAAAAGGAAGAAAAAAAAAGCGTATTCAATGTCTTTGAAGGCAATTTAAATGAAAAAATTATTCTAATATTTTTTTTCCTAGTCATTTATTATTTACATTTTGATTTAAAAAGGGTATATCATCATGTTTTTTTACATATTCTCAATAAAAACAATATTTAAGAAGAGAAAAAATGAAAAATTTAAGATACCAAAATCAGCTAATGATAAAAAAAAATAATTTGAAAATAATGCAGAAGAAAATAAGCAGAAGATCTTGCACAGTATTTTTAAGTTGCTAAAAATTTTTATTTACCATTTGTCAAATTGTATTACATTTTTTTTATTTTTTAAATAACTTTCATACTTAAGTGGTTGTTATTAATCAAATACAATATAAAGTAAAATTGTATTACTACACTATTAAGTGTCAACTAATTACAGACCATTAAATCTACTTAGTGTGAATACTAAATGGAAAAAAAATTGTAAAAGATTGAGATGAGGAAATTTTTCAGATCAAGATCATAAATGAAATGTCTTTAACTCCTGATTGGAATGCATATTCTTCAACACAATCAAGGTCAGCGCAATAGGAAGGGGGAGGGGGAGGGGCTGGGGTCAGCTAATTACAACCCCATCCATCAATGATTTTTTTGTTCATTTAGTCTGCAAATTTGACCCTTTTTGACTAGTTAGTCGGCAAATGTAGACCCTATCGACAAGTTATTTAAATAGCCAGTCGGTAAATGTCGATAAGGCAGTCTGCAAATTTTAAAAAACGAGAACCTTTTTTTTTTAAGTTGGCAAAAGTTGTAATGGCACCCCACCCCCAAGTGACACATAGTTGCGCTGGCCCTGAACACAATGCCTACAAAAAATCACAGCTTTTTCATAATTTTAAAAAGTCAACAATTTTATCATATCCTCCTAAAAGATTCAAGGTTACAAGTGATGTAAAGTATTGTGAATGCATTTTAGGCTTGGTTAAAGAACCATGGGTTGAAGCAGAATTTCAAGTAATGTCAGATAAAAATATTACCATGAACATAATGAAGATGGACAAGAAGTATTCAGATTTTTGTAAAATAAATATAGAGAAACAGCTAGAGACAAGTCTAATCAAAGGGAGTTTAATTATTTTTGAAAAAGCTGTTTTGGATTTGATTATCCATAAAGTCCGTACACTCTGAGGGGAAGAGGGGGTCTGCAAATGGCGTATATGAGATCGGAGGGCAGTGGGTCAATTATATAAGTAAGGAGATACTAAATTAAAAAATATATTATTAAATGTTGGATAGGAGGTTAAAAACATAGGTATATTTAGGGAGGTGGAAAGTACTCAAAAAAGTGTATAACAAAATCAGTGGGGGGGGGGGGGGGGTTCAAAATAAAAGTGTATGTTCTTTATTATGGACAACCCCTAAAGATAAGCACAAAGATTTAACTTTTTTTAGAAGGCCAGGAAGGACTAAGATATTTTACTTTGGGATCAGAAGATAGAAAATTCAGTAAAAAGGTTTTGTTGTCTTTGGTGGGTTAATTTGACCTTTTTTTTTTATCAAAATTTACTATTATATATGTATATTATACATCACTGGTATAATACACATATACACTATGTTTAAACAAATTTCAGCTTTCTGAAGGTATAGGGGAGATAAAAAGGATACAAGATAAACCTACTAAGATTGACGCTACCTCAGAACTAGACTTAAGTCCCACTGATACTTGTTTGAAACTGAAGTTTGGCATAGGGGTTGTCCATTAATTACATCAACAAAATAGGGGGAGTAGGTCTGAACTTTTTTGACAATTGTTGACACAG